GGGGGGGGGGGCAGGTGAAATCTTTAGGGTTCAAATGTCCTGTTTTTTTAATGCAGTCTTCTACTGAAGTAAAGTTGCATTTTCAAAATGTGTTGATTGTTGGTTTTATTGGTTAATATTGTATAGTTGATACTTCAGTATCTTAAAACTGGAGAACTCGGTCTGGCTAATGCACAATGTTGAACAATGTTTGCAAGAAGAGGAGGATGATAATAAAAATTATAATAGATAAATAATATTTAACAAAATCTAAACACCATAAAATTATGTTCATTACACTTCACAAGATTTCTTAAAATTTGTATTTTTTAGACCAAGATAGAAATGCTGGCCAAGAATTTTTTGGAATTGAAGGATAAAACCTTTTATGCTATGAATTTTATATGAAATGTGTAAGGAAAATATGTAACAGGTTACAAAGAAAGGATAATATTCTAGTTTAAAAATGGAGCATCAGGTGTTCAAGTTTTATATTTAATAAACAGAATAAAAATTTCCTATTCAGGGACCATCCTCTGTAAATGTTCTTTAATGCATGGTGGCACATGACCCAAGGTGCTCTGTACACATCTGTATAATGATTATTTAAATTTATCCTATGTATTGGATCAACCAGTTTACAATATTGAAATGTCAAAAAATCTTAAAAACCTAAAGTAATAGATGTTAGTGTACATTCTCTATATGCAAAAGTAGAAATGATAAGTTATACAAGGAAAAAAGTTGAAACTCAAAGTATTTTTATATGAACACATGGCCTCTGATGTAGTTGGCAAAACGCAATTATAGTCTATATTGATTTTTTATTCCAACGTCCACAGCAAAAACAATGTTCAGTAAAGCATACATATTGAAAATTTTAAAATATATATAAATGTTTCTTCAAGCTTTCTGTAATAGATTACATAAGTTATTGCACATATAGTAGTAAGGCTATCAGTCTCTTTGGCAGGTGTGTGTGTGTGTGTCAATACGTGTTTTGCACTCCTCTACTCGATAATATCAAATATAAGCACACAAAGACCAGGCCAGAAGCCAGCATTTTCATACGGGGTTACCTACACTTACACTAGTGGGCCTAATTTGGTCTTAAAGTGCAATTTAAGACTAAAACTTTTAACTGTTTAAGACCTTAACCACAAAGCCACCATGTACTTAACTCAAAATTTCTCCCAGAGTGGATCTTTTCCAAGCAAAAAGTACAGCTTGTTCCAACCCCTCCCCCTCCCCCACTGGCTACAGGCCTGCACATACAGTAATGTTGTCATAAAACCTTCCTTCTTACTTGATTTCTTCTTGCCTACATCAGCACCACTTAGTGGTCACATCTTTTGAAAGTGACAAAATGCTAATATATTGAGTAAAAATTCTTTCTCCATGTTGATATTAGCTATCATATGATAATTGCAGCAGCATGTAGTGACAACAAAAAAAGCTCTAGCATTATGCTGTTGCCTATATACATGTATCATAATTAATAGTGAGCAATCGAGGAATTGCAATCCCATTCTTACTGTAATGATTATACAATCAGAAAGAAAATTATTCCACAATTTTTTGCAACCACATAAATTTTTGCATTTTCTTCATTTAACTAACCTTAAACTCATCATGACACTTCAAGAGCTAGTTAGCCATTCAAGCATGCTGTAGTAAAGAATTTGCAGCGTACTACCTGTAATATTATGTAACTTGTTCTGTCAAAATGATGTTTCTGAAAATATGTTTTATTGAGTAAACTTTGAATAATGTGATGATTTACCAAATCCGCAGGCTGGTCATGTGACCACTCCTATAGAGTTAATATCTGTAAAAACTATTTTTTATGATACAAAATGTAAGCAGTTCTTGTTAAAATATCAGTTTTTCTCTTGGTTGTCAGTCTAGTAGTTTAATTTTTATAACTGTCCTGTGTTTCTTTTGGCTGTTACTGACATCTGTCCACTAGTGCATCTGACTGCTTTAGGCACTTTTGGCTTCTGGGCTGTTTGAAAAGAAACAAGGAAAAAATTGAGATCATTAAATGCACATTAAAAGTGAATTGCCAAAGTCCTAATAAGGAATTGTGTATCAATTATAAAATATAATATATACTTGGAAGTTTAGAGTGATTGTGAACCACCGATTAAATGTGTGTGTTTAAAAATTCGGGTGTTATCATGTTACAAATCCTTGGAAATTCAGTTCAAAACTAGCACTCGTCGATATGGCGTCCGTCGTGTACACTCCTCACTTGCCCCTTGAAACTTCAAATCCCGCAAAATCTTGTGTTCTCACGGAGAATTTAGCGGAAGTCACGTGACCGTGGAAAACACTATATTGGCAAACATTTATGTGCATTGTAATGGTGGGCTATTTACGTTAAGCTTTAAAACAACATACAATACAATACATACAGTCCTGTCAAGGGGTAACATTCTTAAACTACTGTTAGAATCCCTGGATCAGGAAAACAAGGAAAATGACCAAATCAGTGGAAACCAAGATATGTCATCTCTTCACATCCACTTACCAAACCACTAGATCAAAGAATCCTTCAAATCCAAACCTACAGTCCAGTAGGTTACCATTGTCCCAGCGGACCTAAAATAGAGTAATTATTCACAATTGTCACCAACAATGCACAAAAATCTCTTGTAAAGTTCAATTTGTTCAACTTATTACATGATCAAGTAAAGTTGCAGAAAACTGCATTCTTATTATGCTCAAACTGTAAAAAACTGTGCTCTAAGTTTGTTCTTTCTCTCAAGTTATTCAATACGTACCCTCACGGCGCCATTCTCTGCCAGATTATAGACCACGCCCTTGCTGCCTGGTCCTCCGTCAATGTCTTTGTACATCCAGTCTGGGCCTGCATTCAGTAAAGGGTAATCATTTAATACTGTGTAGATTAGTTGTACGTTTTGTGTTTGAAAAGAATAAAGCTTTTAAAAGTTTCATTTGACCATTTGGAGTCTCCTCAAGGGACACACCGTGAATGTCCCCAATGAAAGTCTAGTAAAAGATTTTAAAATCCTTAAATTAATTTTGGGATGAAAAGCAAGTGATCATATCCATAACTTAAATATCTTCAAAAATATATTGATTTGGATCTAAAGATTCCTAGAATAACTATACATGTAGGGTCAAACTATAATAAGATGTAATCTTATATCATAATATCTGTTTTATGATTTGTCATGTCTTCTGGATATAAAGTAATAGATAAAAAAAAAACTTCAACGCAATTTCTTTAAATAAATCATACATTAGTCTTATTATATTAAAATTTTTTGAAGGCTCAATGTAGCAGTTAGAGTATTATTTAATTTACCTCTTTGAACTCTGACCCCAATTTTAATGATGTCGCCAGGTGCCAGTTTACGCGGCTCATCCACAGCAAGGACATCATAGCAACCTCCGTGGCCATAGCGATATTTTAAGATGATGTTTGTACTGTCCCAGCTCACTCCTACTGAACCTGTGAAAAGATGTCTATCTTTAGGACTCACGTGTCAATTAAATAAGCCAACAGTGGTGAAAGCATTGCCATCTTTGTTGACAGATGCAATTGAAAAGGCACAAAGAATATATGCTGTATAAAAACTTCTAGTATAACTAATTAAGAATAAGAAGTAAGAACTGTTTGACTGGGATGTGACTTCATATCTCTCCCATTAATAAATCCCTAAAGAAAAAATTAAGGAAAAAGAAAGAAAATCCAAGAGCTGAAAAAAAGGTATCATGGTAACTATACATGTTTTTTACATCTAGGTACCTTCAAGTTGGTGATAAAGTGAAAAGTGTTGATATCTCTATAAAGTAATTTTTCCTAATGAACATAAAGACCTATGGTGCTAATTGTGTGCCTGTAGTTTCATAACACTCACCCTTTTCGTCATAGCCTATCACAGTTCCCACTCCATATCCATCCTCATCTCCATAGCAATAGTCTGCTCCTCGCCTCACACGTGTGCCGAGCGGCAATCTACCCTCCACCTCCGAAGTGTCCTTGGTGCCTCGACTGTGGGAACACAGCAGGTGCCCTTCCTTGTGAAGCTGGCAGTACAACTTGTACATAGTTTTCTACATAGATAGAGAAGAGGGATTTGATAATGTTGTGAAATTCATCTCAATATTTCATTTTTTTACAATAATTACAATAATTACTACTGTTACATGCAGTGAAGACCCCCCTGAGGCTTATTCATGTCTTGGTTTTCTAATGATCATGGCAATTTCAGATAAATTATTATGGGTTTAAGGGTGCATTCACAATCAAATGAGGTAGTTCCAACTAACTCTGCAAGGACTCTCGCAGCAATCAGTTTGAAAGATTAACACGCTTCCAGGTGTGGTGTAGAATAGAGCAAATTTAGCTGGGTATTATACGAGTATGTTGGAAATAAGTGGAGGCATGTTAATCTGTTAACCTGACTGTATTCAGCAAGACTCCTTGGAGAGTTAGTTTCAGCAATAGTACAATAGTTTCATGGTGAATTAACACATCTTAAGTAAGCTAAGTCCCCTACCAATCCCCACCCCCAAACACCAAACTCACCAGTTCCATATCTTCTAGCTGGTGCTCTCCCAGACCATCATTTTTCTTTCTGTCAGTGGTCTTTAAAGTAGAACCGAAAACCACCTCATCAGCCTTAGCGTCACATTTCCCAGTCATGTCTGAAAATAACAACCAATTCAAGGGTACATACAACGAATAGTTGAATATTAATCTTAGTATCAATCAATCAGTCTTTTATAATTATTTTATAATTATAAACTGTAAATGCTTCATGGGTAGTTTACAAAGACAGCTGGTGAAACTTATCGAGCAAAGGTTAATGCATAATAAGTTTCAACAAATGAGATACATTTTCTAGGTGGCAAATTTCAAGGTTGTACTTACTGTGGTAAGAGGCTGCAAAATTGCATATTTTCACCTGAAATAAATTGAATAATACACTTTATAATTTTATTATCTACCAAATACATCTCAAAAATAAGTTTCTGAAAAAAAATATGAAAAATTACAAGACAGAGTACGCTGTTCACACAAATCATCTTATTAACTATTTAATCTGGAAACTGTAAAATTCACCAATTTTGACTTATGAACCCATATTGCTTTGGTTGAAAGTAGAAAAGGGAGTTTGGAAATTACTTTATCGCTTTTAGTTAAAAAGCAATTAAGTGTAGTTGCCATGGTAACCTACCAGTCGTCGGTAGTAGAGACCAATAGAATCCATGGCTTCCTCATCGTCAATGTCAAAGTAGTTACCATTGACTGTCTTAGCAGCTGACGTCAGTATGTCCTAAAGTGAACAATAATATATTAATTATAAAATGATTTCATTAGTTTATAATTATTCTACTATAACAATATAATTAAAGACATTTGATTTATTGCAATCCAAAACACCCCAGGGGGTAGGTTAAGGACACCTTATTAAGGAAAAATACATTCAATAGGGGATAAAATATGGGGGCGTGAAATATAAATATATGCTTGGACTAATTTTGCACCAACATAGCATCATTTTGAGTTTGGAAAGTAACTGGTACATTTTTTTCCATAAAGTGACTCTCACTCAATACATATTATAATTAATACATATTATACTACATGTATATTCTAGTTAGTTACTAAGAAAAATTAAGCAGTTCTTACAGTGTTTATCACTTTTAATGAAGCAGCTGGCACATGTGCAATAAAAACTAAGGTGTTTGGACATAAATTGCTATCATGTACCTTGTTTTTGTTGCCACAACCAATAAAGACGATCTTGGCTTTCAAATTATTTTTGTCTGTGGTCAATGCATAGGATTGAAGGGACTCCATGAACTGGTACAGCGGCTGGAATGAGACAAGGGATTTTATTGGCTTGAACATTAATCTTTGCTGTTACAGTGGTAGAGAGTCATATCATAATTGGACAAAAAGTGTAAATTCATGACTTGACAGATTTTTTTTTTTGACATTTCTGTCATAAATTCCAAATTCAATTTTTAAGGTTTCAGCAAATTTTATATATTGAAACAAAATCCAAATTTTTTTTTTTACCACTTTTGATATAAAAAACATCTCTGAAAAAGTAGTGGACTATTGTATATTTATTGAATAATTGTGAAGAGAAACAGTATATATATGTATAACATACAATATCCTGGGGATTTGTGACATCCTCATCATCATCTTGTCCCCCGTCTCCTGCCTGTGCTGCACTTATATTTCCATCACTAAAGATGAGGATGCGAGGTGGAATTTTAAAGCCATAAAGATTGACAGTGGCATCTGAAATTAATGGATATTATGTTTAATTGCAAATAATTATGATAACAAGTTTTGTAAAAATAACTTACTGAAAACAATTATTATTTTGAAATTCAAATTAAGAAAAAAATGGCCAAAAGTTAAATGATTTAAATAAATGTTTTAACAATAAATTGTACATTGCATGTGCACATGTAAGCATATAAATTAACAGATAACCTCGATAAAACATACATCATGTAATATACTCTAGCTACGATGATAGAATAGTTATGCTTTTATGATACTTATTATGATTTTATATAACTTATTGTAATATTGTATTAAAAAGTATTACAATATATTACAATAAGTTATATAAAATCATAAAAAGCTTGCTGTTACTTGTGTCTTTCAGCTCTTTGGTGGCCGCCTCAAAGGCTTGGCCGAGGGGTGACAGGCCACGGGGAGTCAAAGACTCTGGAAAAATTAAATAGAACAATTTGATAAAATACATTTATTTATTTAAGAGCAGTCAGAGCACATTGACCAAATTAAATTACAATGAGATAACTATTTTTTTAAATAACATTTCAAGAAATAACAAGGCAGCAAAGCTGTCAAATGTACAGACAAAAAGCAGGAAAAAACAAAATAGGGCACTGTCAATTCTGATGCAAAAGTACATTATGTTAAACTGCAAATTCAACATCAAATTTTAATTATGCTCAACAGGTAATTCCAATGCAAGTAAAATGTGTAACAAGCATAAGGCTTCAGGCCCATGGGAGTTCAAGTTCACACTTTGAAAAGAATCCAATTAGACTGCTCTTCCAACTCAGGCTGCATGCCGATTTTCGAATTTGACCTGCGTTTTAGTAAAATTGATTACTCCTGTGAGTTTCATGACAACAGGCCTATCGGTTTTCCTTAAAATGTGTTAACAGGGTTGCATATATGCTGAAAAGTGAAAAAACAGCATAACTTCTACAATAATGGCCCGATCATGCTGATTTTCGAACTTGACCTGCGTTTTATGAATATTCATCAGCTCTGTAAATATAAAGCCAAAAAGTAAAACTGCCATCCACTTATCGTGTTAACAAGGAAAGTGCACGGCGCCGGCGACGGCATCGGCGACGGCGACGACAGACGCAGGTGATGGCAATATGTACAGACACATCTGTGTCTGTACATAAAAAATATAGATAAAAAGATCAAATCCAATGTTGCAATATTAAAAAAATTAATCAATAATTTAACTTAAAAATAAACACAGTTTTAAAATTATGACAGAAATCAAATGTTATCAATTTTATATTGTCTAAAAAGTGATATGCAGTGTAAGTGAATTAAGATCCAAACATATATTTTAAATACACTTTTTAATAATAAATTATCATAATTTATGAATACCAAGGCATTTTTCCAGTTGATCCGTGTTATTGGTCAGTGGAACCTTCACTGCTGTCTCTCGCCCAAACACCACAATAGATATCCTTTCTTGATATCCAGTCTTATAGGCAAAAGTATCAGCATCTGCAATACATCACAGCCATGTGAATACAAATTTAAAGGGATAATAACTCTTCGTATGAGATCTATATTTCACAATAAAAACATTGTGAATAACTCATACAAATATAATATATTCTGTTTTACCACAACAACGGCAGTTATAGCTATTATTCTTATATCTGAGCTTGTCGTCAGACCACGTGACCGCCATTGATGGCTATACTCTGTTATAATCTCTTAAGAGATTTTAACAAAAAACCAAACTTTATAGAAAAAAAACAGGGACTAACTTTGAATGTAAAAATGGATTCATTAACCATTGGTAAGTATGGGAAAATTGTTGTTTACTCCAGGAAAATTCATTTTTTGGCCAAAACGAAGAGTTATTATCCCTTTAACTTAATTCAGCGAGACACTTTGCAAAATATTTGCCTTTTTTAAAAGATGTCATATTTCATTATGTGCCCAAGGATTTCAGAATTAAAGCGCTTGGAACCATTGGCCACCTCTGTACTTTGAGAACTGTATGAATAACAATATCTGAGAAACACATGCTCCAGAACTTAAAGTAAACTTGAAATAAGTTTGAATTTATGTACATGTGCATGTATGCAAGTGAGAGTGCCCACAACTTTGCAAACTTTTTATTGCAACCTTCTGGTCGAAGGCACCATGCATGTTCCATACTTCCCAGTACCCGACATGTTACATTGCATGCATGCCAGTGTGGTAACATGTACTTACTATTCAGCAAGCTCCTAATGGCCCCCTTCACCTGATTAAAGGGGTCTCCCGCCATACTTCCAGACAGGTCCAGACACAGTACTGTAGCCAGACCCAGGGGTGCTGAAATATAAGTTCCAAATTATATACAATTTTATCATATGGGGTGACAAGTTGCAAGTTTAACAAGCTATAGACTGGGTACTGTTGCAATAAAAGCTCTACTGATTTGAAAACAAAGGTAAAAAGTAACAATGATTGTATTCATATTTCAATATACAGCCAGGACTTGGAAAAATTTAAAGGACTGAGCAAAGAAAAATTAATTTAAAAATTATGAAAATTGCAATAAAAATAAACTGATATAAAACCCACCTGTGTAGTAAGCAGTATTCCCACCTGCTGTAGTTGTGTAGTAAGCAGTATTAGTAGCCCCTCCATAAGTCTCATACACATCATCTCCATAGCCGATATCGTTTTCCAGGCTGTCGTTGTACATGTTGTCTGCAGATGTCTGAAAATCTTCCACTATATTGTTGTACTGTGCTGATCTTTGCATTGTGTCCAGCAAAACAGTAGCGCCATCTGATGATTGGTTATTGCTGTCTCCAGAGCCAATATTATTGGGAGACGGGTGCGGGGATGTAATTGTTCCACGCCCAGTGCCACGCCCCCTGGTGTACATAATATTGCCCCTTCCAAGGCCCCCTCTTAACCCTCCCCGTGGGGTTGTTCCCCCCGGCATCCTCATCACGGAAACGAGGCGTTGCTGGCACATTGCGCGTAACTGCGTGATGGTGGCAGTTGCCTGAACAGAAGATTCCTGGTACTCCTTTTGGAGTTTTGAAAGCTCTGCTTCCTTATCTCTCAGGTCTTGTAATACCTGATCTAACTCCATATCCTTTGCTTGTTTTAATTCCTCACATTTTTCTTTCAGCTGACTAATTTCACTGTCCTTCGTCTTTAGTTGATCCTCCAACTCTGTTTTAACTTTCTCAATATCTGAACTCTTGGCTTCCCTTTCCTGGTCTATGGTATCTTGAAGGTTTTCATTCTCCTCCTCAAGGTCTTTGATTGTGGTGTCTTGCAGTTTTTTTACTTTCTGCTTAAGAGCCATGAACTCTCGCTCAAGGTAGCTATTGGTGCTGCCGAGGCAAATACGTGAGCTCTTCATCTCCTGCCATCTTGGAAACAAGGCCACAAAAGGAGAGCTTGGAACTTCATCTTGGATGTTTCTAGCTGAAGTGGTGTTTTTTGGCACCTCTGGATGTCCAGGGGGAACCGCACTTTGGGGGTTATCTTGTCTTCTTGATCGGGAAATAGCATCATCTCTGCCAGCACTGTTAATGTTGGGTTCTGAAAAAGTACAAATTAAAATACAAACATTTGATTGCATGTTATCCAAAGACATATGAGATGTGCTTTTCATGTAGCACACTAGCTGGTATCAGTGCAATTGCCATGTCTGTAGTGAGGTTAGTGCGTACAACACTTGAAATCTCAAATTTTCTCAGATTTGTTTTGCTGATAAGGCCAGCCCTTGGATAGTGAAAACCATAATCGTCATGAAAGCACAGGTTAATTTGAGGAACAACTACCACATAATTAATGATCAAGACAACAAGTGGATTGCAATCAATTTGTAGAATTCAAATTTGAATTTATTTGTAAGTACATGTATAACCTAAATATAGTGCTTTTATTGTATTAATAGCATCTACTCTACACATATTATTATACACAATATGTACATTTTCATACATACCTTTCTGCAGCGTCAACAATGTCCTCATCTTCAACGATGTCTGAGTATCCATATTGGTCGAACACTTAACCACCAGGTCAAGGTCACCAACATTTTCTTGGACATCTTCCGTCAAAACCACTTGGCCAATCGCCTGGGACAAGTTTGAGGAGCCTGTGCTACGAGTTTCCTGAAGGAGCGAATCCACTGCTTGAGTGCTGTAGATGGCAACCTCTACTGATCTGACACTTTGAATCAGGCTGAGGACTGGGTACCCACACCTGGAGATGGCATTAGTGAGGGCCTGCTGCCAAGAGGAGCTAGACCAGTGACTGTTCATGTGTTGTTCTGCTGTGGTAAGTTTGTGGATAGAAGCAGGGTTGAATGATTTACCTTGCTTTGGTGCAAAGTCAAGCCTGAACTTCAGGGTGGTGCTTGGGGGATCTACCAAAAATAGCCAAAAATTACTAAATATATTTTTATTTCTACATCAGGGGATGTCTAGAAGTGCTTAAAATGTACATACAGATAATACCAACTACCTTTTTAAAGAATCATATTTTAAGGTAATGTTTTTTTTTCTTAATTTTTCTGAAAATTAAGTTTCTGGACACTTGAAAATCAAATTGGTACATAATTATATAATAATAATGTGGTCAGAATAATTTAAGATATACTGTATACACACATCAGGTCTTACCTTTGCATTTGGCTAGGAGTGCTGCCAGCCCCTGCTGGTTTAAAGCAATCAAAGCCATTACCAGTCCATCAAAACCAACATCACCCAAGTCGTTCAAGACATCAAGTGTCTTCTCAATCTTTTGTTGGTTTCCTTCAGTATCAATTATGGATTTGAAATCCCCAGGTTTCATGTAGCCTCTCTCCTGCAATATGGCCCCCAGCCAGTCGCCATCCACCAGGTCCACCAAAGCTGATTTGTGTTTCTCTAATGATGTTTTGTTTTTTGATGACAAAGGACCATTTCCTTTCACCAGTGCTACCCGTCTTCCTACATAAATAAACCACTTGTTATTGTAAAAAATATGTACAGACATTTATTTTTTAATAATCTAAAATATTTTAATCATTTCATTCTTATTAATTTTATTCTAGGTCAATGATCGCTCACTTTAATATAAACTGAGTAACAAACAGAATGGTTTGGAATTAAAACATGTTATTCTAAGGCATGGTTTTATTACCATTAAATGTTTCCCCATTCAACAGCAAGGCGCCTGTCAAATCTGTCTGTGTAGAAGATGGAGTGAGGATCTGCGAGGCTCCTGTCAAATCTGTCTGTGTAGAAGATGGAGTGAGGATCTGCGAGGCGCCTGTCAAATCTGTCTGTGTAGAAGATGGAGTGAGAATCTGCGTGGCTCCTGTCAAATCTGTCTGTGTAGAAGATGGAGTGAGGATCTGTGAGGCGCCTGTCAAATCTGTCTGTGTCGAAGATGGAATGAGGATTTGCGAAGCTCCTGTCAAATCTGTCTGTGTAGAAGATGGAGTAAGGACCCATGGAGATCCTGCTTTATCAGTTTGGACAGTGGCAGCAGACATTATGATACTCTGTGTCTGGTTCCCTACACTGGATACACTGATCCTTGACCTCTGTGGCTCTTGATCTTTGACCTCTGTTCTGGGCTCTGCCTCTGTTTGAACGCCCATGGTGCTAAATGTGGGTGTGGCCTCTCTTGGATTGCCTTCATTACTGGAGTAAGGTAGAATTGAATTTAATGCCATAATGTGAGTTAAATTAGAAAAGATCCTTTTGAGAATCACCTAAGAAGTAAAAATGCTGTAACAGCAATGAAGATCATATATCGAAAAACATTTAGACTAAGACTAATGTTTTTTAAAAGTGTTAGTTTAAAATATTTAAAAATTCACGCTACAATTTGAATATATTGCAATGAAATCATAAACATTTTAGGAATTTCAAGATAATATTTTTAATAAATGCCTAAAATTCCATGCGATTTTAACTTTTCTTAGTTTTGGCACATCAAAAAATTAAGAGCTGAAGTAAACAAATGCCTATGTGCCACCCAATATTATAGTAATCTGCAATTATAACAGCAGTCTAGGTTCCTTTATCTATATAAAGATATGATTAATATAATACTTACCCACGTTCCATCCCAATTGTGTCAAACTCCTTGGTCCACTCATAGAGATCGACAGGGGTGTGGCCAGGGGGGAGAGAGTCCAAGAGGCACACCTGGGGGGCTATACCCTGGGGAAAATTTTATGAGAAATAATTGTTTTGACACTGTGTTATCAATACCTTAATTTCAAGCCCAAATTTGGTGGAAAATTGCTTTAATGGTTTCCTTTTATGCCTGCTTTTATTTCAAAATTATAATTATAGCCTAAAATACAAGTCAGAATATGCATGGACACACAGTTCTACCAATCATACCACGGGAACTTGTTCTTCATCAGAGAAGTCAATGAGTTCGGCCAGAGGAGGCGCGGGGATGGTGGTGGGATTAATGCACCCTGGGCCAAAGTCGTTAAAACCTTCGGGCACTGAAAATAGGTCGTCCAATCCCATTGGCTGTACTGATTCTGTGTGGGGACGGTCATCTGCTTTATTAGCCAGGTTTATAAGGCTATCTTCTGAGGACATGCTCTCTGAAAAATTTGTAGAATTATAATTGTGTATGTGATACATGGTGCAGCATGTTTCTCATATATAGTCTATTGTCAACGTCTATTCACCATAAAAACAAAAAGTTAACTTTTTCTTAAGAGACAAGATATTTCAAACCTTCATAAATGACTTGATCACACGTACGTATGACTAATTGTGCTAGTTTTTAGTAACTTTTTCCTTTTCTGTCAAAGGAGAGGTTGTTGATTCATGAAAATAATGAAATGGAAAGATAAATCTGTGGTTTAGAATTATTCCAGTCCATATCACATATGGATGTCTTAGTCACCAATGTAAATACAAAGAAAACAATCAACAAAGATAAATATCAATGTATAATTATGTCTTTAATAAAATACTTTATAAAGAAAATGAATAAATTAAAAAAAATTACCTTAGACAGAAGTAAACCTTTTAACCATTTATAACCAGAGTCATGTGCCTAGATATATTTTTTCCCAGATCAGGCCTTTTCTCTGCAAAAAGAATTGGTTTGAACCCCCAAACGCCATTGGCTACAGGCCAAGTTAACATGCTGTAGTCTCATCGAATTTCTGATTTAGGAAGAACAATATCACATGCACCATACTATAGCAAAGTATACTTACCAGCCACAGGCACAGGTGGCGATGATGTCCGAACGCTCTCTATAGACTGATGTCGCTCTGATTGCAGACGCTCCTCAAGGGCTTCCTGACGGTCATGCAACTCATTCTGTCTCTGTTTAATAGACTCTAAATGCATTTTAATCTCCTCAAGGGCTTGGGTGGTTGCCTGTGAGGCAGACACAGTGCTGGTTTGTTGGTGCTCCAGCGCTACCATTCTGGAGACAACCTGTTGCTGCTGCGACTCGTATGAAGCAGTAAGATTTGCCTGACGCTGATTCAAAGCCTGCAACGTATCTTGGGTTTTCTTTAACTCTTTTTCCAAATTCTCTACAACCACTGGTGGCAAGGCAGGTGGAGGTGTGTGTGGCAATACTTGGGAGTTTCGTGAGGATTTCACTTCTTCGGAGAGACGTTGGATCTGCCCTATCAGTTGACATTGCCCTTTTTTCAGATTGCTGATTTCTGCCTTAACCCATGCCAACTAATAAAGAAGAGAGTTATAAATAGTTAATTTTCTCACTATAAATTCTCTGCAGTGCACGTTACAATTAACTGACCTTCTACTACCCAACATGTTTGCCTTATAGAAAAATTCCTATAGAATCCTAAAAGATCCTTTATAGGAAATTGGGCAAATTTTCTATAGAATCCTATAAAATCCTACAGGAATTTTTTGTAAGGGCATGTTTTCAATTAATAATACATATATAAATTATCAAGTAAATAAATTAGTTGCTTGATCAATAAACAGAAGATAACAACGGTAAAATTTATAATTATGAAATTAATTCACCAACTTAACTGACCGGTTTTGCCCAAGGTGCACTGATACTCCCACGTTCTTTTGGGTCTCTCTTGTTTGTACTGCCATCTGGTGCCATTTTTTTACTGCCCTCACTGCTCATTTCACTCAGTGAGGGTGGTTCTATAAAATGAAAGTAAAATGACTATGTGTGTTTATACGACTCTCACAATTAAGCCACAAGACAAAATTATCTGAATAGAAAGTGTGGTGCAGTAAAGATGATCAAAGTGAAACTATATTACCGGAATAGAAGGGGGGGGGGGGGTGCAATAAAGATGTTCAAAGTGAAACTGATCTTAATCAAGTTAATTATACAGATCAAATATTTTTAAGTACATTTTACAAATGGATTGATTCCTTTTTACTGATCTGAAACCATATAAAAATCAAGATCACTACAAAGGATTCGAACTCTCACAAAAAATTCCATGTGCATTTCCAAATTTTAAACACCCACACCCACACACGCGCGCACACACACACACACACACACACAAAATGCATTTATTTCACAGTTCTGTTTATGGTCCACATATATATGTCCCTGTACTTCAATTGATTAGCTTGGAAAAAATGATACATATATAATACAAATATATCATGAAAATGTATCATCCAAATTAAAATGCATGGTGACCGGAGAAATAGAGAGAGAAAGAAAGAGAGAAAGGCTGACTGGTTGATAGCCATACATATGTTTAACGTTCAGGTAAGAGATCGGGTTCGACGAGACCAGTTCAGAGGGTAAATTTAATTTTGATTGCACATTAATTAATGCTATCGAAAAAAGAGAAAACACCCTGTAGCACAATTGCGGTTTGGATCAGTCAAACTGTTGCGCGAGGTATATATATATATATATATATATATATATAGAGAGAGAGAGAGAGAGAGAGAGAGAGAGAGAGAGAGAGAGAGAGAGAGAGAGAGAGAGAGAGAGGGGGGGGGGGGGGGGGGG